CTTCTCAGGGGGACCTGGTTAAGTCAGTCAGGGAGCTGACGACTACCTTTTGATTTCTTTAAATTGCTTGTCGAGAACTTAGCGGACTGTGCACCCCCCCCCCAACAGATCGAGCTTGCCCTTACAACCAGTAGGGAGGTGGGGAGGGCCAGTAGGCGAGTTGGTGGAAGGGGACCCATCCCCGGACTCGGGTTTAGAGGCAGACTCGGAAGGGAAGGGTCCCTCAAGCGAGTCTAGAGGTCCCTCTAGATACAAGTTGTCCCTTGAAGAGGTTGATGACTTACTAAGAGCCATTTATGCTACCTTACACATTAAGGAAGATAGGAAACCCCTTACTGTCCATGATCAGATGTGTCAGGGTATGGAGGAACAAAAGCATAGGGTCTTTCCCATCCACAAAGTACTGGTGGAGACCATTAAAAGGGAATGGCAGGACCTGGAAAGATAGCCCTTCTTTGCCAAATCCCTCAAGCCCAGGTTCCCGTTCAACGAAGACTCATCCACAGTGTGGAATAAGAACCCCAAGCTGGACGCAGCTTTTTCTCAGGTAGCCAGGAGGATGGACCTTGCCTTTGAAGATATGGGGGTCTTGTCTGACACCATGTACAGGAGGGCAGATTTCCTTCTTAAAATATCCTGGGACTCCCCACTATCCAATTTAAATCCTGCTATGGCCACTACAGTGGTAGCTCGGAACATGGAGTATTGGCTTATACAGCTACAGGCCGATATCATGGCGGGATCCCAGGGCAAAATTTTAGTCTCCTTCCAGACTTTACTGCAGGGGGTGGGCTATATCACAGATGCTTCAGCTGAGTCAGTGAGGATGATGGCTAGGTCAGCAGCCCTGACTAACTTGGCCCGCAGAGCCCTGTGGCTCAAAGCGTGGCTGGGGGACATTGCCTCCAAAGTTAAACTTTGTGGCATCCCATTTACAGGAGACTTCCTTTTTGGGCCAGGTCTCGAGATGGTGCTAGATCGCACCGCAGACAGGAAGAAAGCTTTTCCCCTCAAGAGGAAGCTCCAGGTGCAGGGTAGGAAAAAGTTTTATCTCCAAAAGAGGGTACAAGCCGTTCAGGCGGAAGTACAGAAGAGGCCATGGGGGCACAGAGGAAGGGACAAGGGGGGAACAATTTTCTGTCCTCCTGAGCAGCCCTAAAAATCACATTGATGATGTTCCCCCGGTGGGAGGAAGATTGGGGATCTTCCTACTACAGTGGGAAGCAGAATCATCCAGCCCCTTTATCCTGGGCATAGTGAGGAAGGGTACCACCTGGAGTTTCGCAGGCCACCACCACAAATATTATTAGTGACGGAGCTCCCGAGGTGTACAGAAAAAGCATCAGCCCTCTCTTCTTTGCGGGAGTTGGAGGAGCAGAGGGTTGTTGTCAGGGTCCCCCGCCGCAGAGATCAGCAGAGGGTTCTATTCACACTTCTTTGTCATCAGAAAGCCCTCAGGAACATACAGGCTGATTCCCCATCCCTTGAATGAGACCATCAAATACAAAAGATTCCGCATGGATTCAATTTTCTCGGTCAGGTCCCTTCTCCCCCCCCCCCCTCCCCCCCAACTGCTTTCTAGCCTCAATAGACCTAAAGAACGCTTACTTACATATCCCTACTGTGGAGGCTTTTCAAAAATTCCTCAGGTTGGCAGTTCAAGGCCGCAGAGAAATACTTCATCTGCAGTTCTGAGCCTTGCACTTTGGACTTTACTCCTCACCCAGGATTTTTGCAAAGATCATGGCCAAGGCCCTGGTATTTCTTCATCTAAGGGGAGTCTCGCTGATGGCCTACCTGGATGATCTCCTATTGTTTGCTGACTCGGAGGAAAAGCTGTCGCAGGACATAACCTTGGTGATGAGACACCTGAAAATCTGGGCTGGCTAGTCCAATTTGGTCCCAACAGAAAGTATGGTGTACCTGGGCTATGAACTGAATTCCACCCTTCAAAAAATCTTTCTGCACCCGGAGAAGATCCTGAAGTTGGACAGGGGAATCATGCATTTTCTGGGAAACCAGGCCGTGTCTCTGAGGGAATTCATGTCAGTCTTGGGCCTACTAACCTCGTTCATTCCAGCGGTACAATGGGCAGGTTTGCACTTGCAGCCCCTCCAGCTGTTCATTTTGGATGTCTGGGATCGCCGGCAGGCGTCTTTAGACTCCTTGATACAGGTACCCCCTCGGGTGAACAGAACTCTTTGGTGGTGGAGGAGGTCAACCAATCTGACACAGGGGTTACTGTGGGCCTTACCCATCTCCAGGGAAATTGCAACAGACATGGGTCTCAGGGGTTGGGGAGTGCACATAGGAGAGTTCATAGCGCAGGGTTCTTGGCTACCAGAAGAGAGGAACAGGTCCTCAAACTGGAAAGAACTCAAGGCGGTATTGCGGGCCCTTGTGGTCTTCCGGGAGCAGCTACGGGGCCAGCACGTGCAGATCCTCTCGGACAACTCCTCCATCGTGGTGTATGTCAACCGGCAGGGAGGGACTCGAAGCAGGACGCTGTGGTCCCTGGCCTCAGAGTTGCTTTCCTGGGCGGAGACAAATGTAGCCTCTTTATCCGCTGTCCACCTGAAGGGAGATCTGAACCAGGTGGCAGACTTTCTCAGCAAAAGGAAACTGAGGGAATCAGAATGGGTGCTCAATGGAGAGGTCTACCAGGCCATCATAAGGGAGTGGGGGTATCCATCCATAGACCTGTTTGCGTCAGGCCAAAAAAACAAAGTTTTGGTTTTATTCTCTCTAAACCAGTGGGACGGGCGTTGGCAGTGGATGCACTAACACAGAGGTGGGATTTTCCCCTGTGTTATGCCTTCCCCCCAGTCTCCTTATTGCCCGCACTGGCCCCGACAAGCTTGGTTTTCAACCATGGCAGCCCTAGCCGCCCACCCTCCTTGGATATTGCTGTACCGAAGGGACTTTTTTCTCAGGGTCCGGCCCTTGTTCCCAGGTGGACAGATGGAGCCTATCGGCCTGGTTTCTGAGGAACAGCTGCTGAGGAGCAAAGGGTTCTCAGACAGGGTAGTATCCACTCTCCTAAATAGCAGGAAGGAGGAGACCCATTCTATCTACCTTAAGATCTGGAAACTTTTTAACAAATGGTGTGCTCAGACTTCCTTGGAAACACATGGCCTAGTTTCAGTCCTGGAATTTTTGAAGGCAGCGGCCAACAAGGGGCTAGCAGTAAGTACACTGAAGGGCCAAGTGTCTTCTATTAGCATTTTTCTAGAGTCTCCCTTAGCCAGAGAAGAGCTTGTGGCGAGATTCTTCAAATCTTGACCAGACAGAGACCTGTAAGAGAAAAACCCTTTCCAAAGTGGAACCTGACTACAGTGCTTATGTGCTGACAGGCCCCCCGTTTGAACCTCTGGATTTCAAGATCCAAGTGGGTTGCTATGGGGGCACTTTTTAACGGGGGGGGGGGAGTCCAGAGCACCAGGAGACCCAAAAAAAGAAGGATCAGGGCAGCTCTGTGCAAAACCATTTCCCAGAGCAGGTAAGTAAGACATGTTTTTTATGTGTTTTTTTTACATTTTTTCCTTTAGTATCACTTTAACCACTTCAAGTCTTCACATTTTCACCTCCTTCCTGCCCAGACCAGTTTTCAGCTTTCAGTACTGTCACAGTTCAAATGACAATTACTCAGTAATGCAACACTGTACCCAGATTAAAATATTATTAGGAGGCCAGAGGTAGGAGGAGATTTTGACCTTCATACCTCTCGTCTCCCTGTCCTCTTCACAGAAACTATCTCAGTTATTTTTTTCATAGAACTCACGACTCCGGCTCAACTGTTCAGTTGGGACAATTTGGATTCCCCGTTAGCCCTGGTTCACACTTAATGTGACTTTATAATCGTGCGACTTCACTGGAAACTGCATGATTATAAAGTCAAGTCAATGCGACTTTTCAGACATCTGTGGGACTTCATGCAAGTTGCACCTGAAATCGGCAAAGGTAGTGCAGGAACTACTTTTCGAATCAGTGTGACTCCGATGAAGTTGCACCAATTAGAACGGTTCCATTGCCAACCATTGGATGTGACTTGTCATGTGATTTGAACTGTGAAATTGCATGACAAGTCGCATCAATGCAAACGGAGGCTTATGGCCCAAATGTAGCGGTGATGTAGGGGATGTAATACACGTTTTGGAGATGTCCGAAATTATCCAGGTACTGTGAAAAAATATTACCTGCATTATATCATCCGTGTTTAATATTCCTGTTCCTCAGGATCTGGTGGTGTGCCTCTCGGGCTCGTTGGATAAGGAATTTTTTGCACCTCCAAGTCATATAGTAATAATGAAGCTGCTGTATATTGCCCATAAACCAATAGCCTGACTCTGGGTATCACCTCATACTCCCACCAGACCACAGGGGACTGAGCAGATGAACTCCACATTAACCACTTGCCTACCGGGCACTTATACCCCCTTATTTACCAGGCCAATTTTCAGCTTTCAGCGCTGCCGCACTTTGATTGACAATTGCGCGGTCATGCAACATTGTACCCATATGAAATTTTGATCATTTTTTTCTCACAAATATAGCTTTCTTTTGGTGGTATTTAATCGCCGCTGGGCACTTTACTTTTTGCTCTATAAACAAAAAAATGCAAAAAATTTGAAAAAAAAAAAAAGTTTCTTTGTTTCTATTATAAAATTTTTCAAACAGGTAATTTTTCTCCTTCACTGATGTGCGTTGATGAGGCAGCACTGATGGGCACTGATAGGTGGCACTGATGGCACTGATAGGCAGCACTAAAGGGCACTGATAGGCAGTACTAATGAGGTGGCACGGATAGGCGGCACTGATAGGCAGCACTAATGAGGTGTCACGGATAGGCAGCACTAATATGCAGCACTGATAGGTGGCACTGATGATGGGTACTGATAGACGGCACTGACTGGCATCACTGCTGGGCACTGACTGGCGGCACTGACTGGCACAACCGCTGGGCACTGACTGGTGGCACTGACTGGCAGCACTGGTTGGCAGCACTGGTGGGTGGCACTGGTGGGCAGCACTGGTGGGCACAGGTGGGTGGGCACAAGTGGGTGGCACTTCTGGGCACAGGTAGGTGGCACTTCTGGGCACAGGTGTGTAGTGTGACACTGCAGAGTGGCACAGGTGGGTGCACTGCTGGGCACAGGTGGGTGCACTGCTGGGCACAGGTGGGCGGAGCTATTGGGTGCACTGCTGGGCACAGGTGGGCGGCGAACTTGTGGGTGCCACTGCTGGGCACCGATCATCAGGGCACTGATCATCAGTGCCCTGATGATCGGTGCGGATCCCCGCTCTGACAACTGCCGGTTCTCGACAGTACTTTCCTCACGATCTGACAGCGTGAGGAAAGTGCAGCCGAGAACCGGCAATTGCATTTCCCTCTGATCAGCGTGTCATTGGACACCGCTGATCAGGTGGTAAAAGGCCGCTGTGATTGGCCTTTTACCACATCACATGATCAGCTGTGTCCGTAGGACACAGCGATCACGGAGATCGCCGGGTGCGCGCCCCCTGGGGCGCGCAGGAGAGCACGTTCTGGGGGGATGTCATATGACGTCCACCCAGAACTGGCCGGCCGCAGTGCAGCCGTCATTCAGCTATCTGCGGTCGGCAACTAGTTAATATGTGAAAAGCTAAATTAGCAACTTCATAATTCCCCCTAGGAGATGTATGTCTCTCTGGCAGAACTGGCTGGATACTCTGGGTTTTGCTCCCCCCAATTAATCCTTCATAGGCTTTTACAGGTTTAACTTTTTTAGTCCCCTAAAAAGGATATGAGCCAGTTGTGTCCTACTAAATGGTGACTACATTGGAGACCCATACTTGGGGTATGATCCTGTAGACACGGGCCCCATTGATCGGTGTCAGCTATCTATGTATGTACTGGGGGAGTTACTTGCCGTGTACAGCTGAATTGTTCTAGGTTGTTTCTTCTTTTCTCTGTTCATTTGTTTATAAAAGGTAAAAGTGACACCATAGACAAAGCAAGTTATTGTTCTGTATGATCTGTAACAGTGCCACAACTGCTTATACCAGTGGTCTCCAAACTGTGGTCATTTGCTTGCCTTTATCTGGCCCCCAGGGGCACTATTCCTCGCATTGATACCAAACACTTGTTGGTGTCACTTGACAAAACAAAGGGCAAACATTTCTCCCACTAACAGAAATTATGGGACACTATTTCTCCCAATGATAGGGCACTGTTCCTCCCCCCTAATACCAAATCTGGCAAGGTTTACTCCTACCAATGCAAGGAAAATGTCCACTCCCGTGGCCAAAGTCTGGCCCCCCTAAAGTTTGAAAGACAATAAACTGGCCCTTTGTTTAGAAAGTTTGGAGCCTCCTGGCTTATCCGTTAGAACGTATTACTCCATTGGGCTGAATGTTGGAAATACTGTGTGTGACGGGAGTGACTTTTGGGGGTGGGGGACCCCTGTCCCAGCTCCCCATATCCCCATTATGTGTAAGTTACCCTGTGCCTCTTAGGGGTACAGGGTGGAATGTTCAAATATTGGTGTGGGGGGTTGGTCATTGTTCACTGCCATGCAGCTGCATCCTATTGTTCTAACAAACTATTATGGGATGTAATGTTTGTGTATTGGTGTGGGGGTTGGTCACTGCCAGTTGTTCACTGCCAGGTGGTGCATCCCATTGTTCTAGTAAACTATTATGGGATGTAATGTTTGTGTATTGGTCCCCACACCATTGTCATTGTTCACTGTCAGGTGGCCAGGTGGTGTCATCCCATTGTTCATTGTTCTAGTAAACTATTATGGGATGTAATGTTTGTGTATTGGTGTGTGGGGGTTGGTCATTGTTCACTGCCAGGTGGTGCATCCCATTGTTCTAGTAAACTATTATGGGATGTAATGTTTGTGTATTGTCTACTGCCATGTGGTGTATCCCATTGTTCACTGCCATGCGGCTGCATCCCATTGTTTTAGCAAACTATTATGGGATATAATGTTTCCAGCACCCTTCCCCCTGATGGGACGGCCTGCTGATGTGTTTCCTGTCTGGGTGTGTATTTCCCCGCCTTGTGTATATATCTTGTGTCTATGTTAAAATAAAGCAGTCCATTTCCTGTCTTTCATACAAGTCTGGTGTGTCTCGTCCTGTTTGGTCAGTGGGGGTGTCCGGGGATCTGTGTTCGGACAGGGAAGCTGGAAATACCCAAGTGCAGTCTGGGTCCGGTTCCGTTACACTGTGTGCACTTATAAACTTTATCAATAAAATAAAAACTATTTGATTAAAAAAAATATAATGCTGTACATAATCTTTCTATATTTAGGATACATTTAATAATAAAAAACATCTTTATTTAGCCCTTTATATAGATTTCATATTTAAAATGTTTTTTTTTTTTATATATATATATAGGTGGATTGATGAACCAACTTTTTGGTCATGTTGGCCTTCATACATACAACTAATTCAACATCAGAAACCAGACCTATGGGTGTCTTATGTGCCTGAAAATCTTTTTTTTTTTTGCACTTCACTGGAGGATTCGCACAGGACATCTAAAACTCCATCAATATTTTGGATCCTATTCAACATTGATCCAGCCTCAGAGGACAAGAGAGAAGTCTGGAAGTGACAATGGCTTTACAATAAAGTCCAACCCAAGTGCACATAAGAGAAGTCATTTCAAGCTATTTCTTGTTTGGAATGTGACAAAGGTTTTACAATGGAGGCAAAACATATCACACAGCAGAGGGTTCACACTGGAGAGAAACCATTTCAGTGTTCTGAATGTTACAAAGCTTTTAATGTAGCGTCAACCCTCATCAGACACCAGAGGATTCACACTGGAGAGAAGCCATATCAGTGTTCCGAATGTGAGAAAGCTTTTACAATGAAGTCACACCTCATCAGACACCAGATGGTTCACACTGGAGAAAAGCCGTATCGGTGTTCTGAATGTGAGAGAGCTTTTACAATGAAGTCAAATCTTATCACACATCAGAAGGTTCACACTGGAGAGAGGCCATATCAATGTTCTGAATGTGGCAAAGCTTTTATAACCAAGAGAGAGCTTATCATACACCAGTGGGTTCACACTGGAGAGAAACCTTATCAATGTTCTGAATGTGGCAAAACGTTTGCAACTAAAAAAGGGCTTATCATACACCAGTGGGTTCACGCTGGAGAGAAACCATATCAGTGTTCTGAATGTGGCAAAGATTTCACAGCCAAAAGAGAGCTTAACATACACCAGAGGATTCACACTGGAGAGAAACCACATCAGTGTTCTGAATGTGGCAAAACATTTACAACTATGAATGAACTTATCATACACAAGAGGGTTTCACACTGCAAAAAAAAACATATCAGTGTTCTGAATGTGATAAAGCTTTTACAATTAAGTCAAATCTTAACATACATCAGAGGGTCCACACTGGAGAGAAGCCATATCAGTGTTCTGAATGTGATAAAGCTTTTACATGTAAGAAAGATCTTATCGTACACCAGAGGGTTCACACTGGGGTGAAACCATATCAGTGTTCTGAATGTGACAAAGCTTTTACAATGAAGTCAAATCTTAACACACACCAGAGAGTTCACACTGGAGAGAAGCCATATCGGTGTTCTGAATGTGAGAAAGCTTTTACAATGAAGTCAGATCTTATCAGACACCAGAGGGTTCACAAGGGAGAGAAGCCGAGTCAGTGTTCTGACTGTGAGAAAGCTTTCACTACCAAGATAGAGCTTATCAGACACCAGAGGGTTCACACAGGAGAGAAGCCCTATCAATGTTCTGTATGTGACAAAGCTTTTACACAGAAGTCAAATCTTCTCAGACACCAGAGAGTTCACACGGGAGAGAAGCAATATCAGTGTTCTGAACAAAGCTTTTACAGTTAATTCTGAGCTAATCTATTACCAGAAGACTCCATCTTCAGCTGCAGAGAGGAAACTCTGGAAGAAGAGGGGGATATTACAGGAGTTGTGAGGGTCCCATTAGTTTCACAGCCCCATTGCCATCCCACAAGCTAGGGAAGAAGTGAATAGATACAATGCTACTTTCAAAAAAAAAAAATCTGTGAACGTAATGAATAGATTAATTGAGTTGTATGTATCATGTAATGCATTTTCATCTTTCACCAACTGACGTGTTCCCAAGTTGCCAGATCCTGAGCTAAAACATGACCAACGCTGCCTCACAACCAGAGACTAGGATGGGGTCAAGTGCTATCTTTCTAAGCTTCTGAGGTTTCAGTGGGAGAGTCCATTCCAGGTTCTTCTGACTATTGGTACATCATCAACTATGCTTGGTGACTCAAGCTAAGCCCACCTTGTCCAAACCTCCCATCCCATTATCAATGCCTCCTTTCCACATTTCATTTCCTCTTATGGATGACAGCTTTGCCGGCAGGTCTGTAACTGAGACACCAACCAGGGAAAAGTCTCTGTACTGTGAGTGAGCAATTTCCCAAGCTGGCATAGGCCTTCCAACACAAAGTTTCTGCTGTTTATGAGATACATTCAGCAGTACCACTTAATCCCAGCTGGCCACTTGTGTTCCATCTGGTTCTGCTGAAAGTCTAAGGGATTCCTTTAGGCGAAGAAGAATGATTATCCTTGTGGTTTTTTTCACTGTCCAGCTTTTACTCACTCCTCTCCATAGACTATTCGCACAGCACAACTGCAAGAGATCGGAACTTTCAAAGTGCTGAGTATGTGGTCATAGTCCTACAACTTCTTCTGGGGTACTGAAATTCCTCTAGTTAGGGTACACTTTAATGACACTAAATAGACAGATCTCCTTTTGGGATAAAGTATGCAAAGAACACTCCCTGGAAACGTTACAACATTAGCAGTGAGTGTAACTATGGGCAAAATCAATAATTACCTTAAATCCTTCACGCCGGTGCCTCCCGGCCCTTTAAGGGTTTCAGAAGCTGAGAGGCGGGGTGGGGTTTAGGGTCATGTGACCGCCATCACGGTTATATGATCAGGAAAGGTCCCGATCGAAAGAGGAGATCGGGACCTTTCCGTGAGTACCGGACATGTGTGCTGGGGGCACGCGCTCTCAGCACATATGTTCTTTTTTAATAGAGTGCAAATGTGCAGCCGCTCGGGGTCTAGGCCCAGATGCCGGGAGGCCGCACATTTGCGTTAGGCTGGCGTGAAGAGGTTAATAATGAAATCTGTTTTTAGCATAGCAGTTTTTTTTAGTCTCCCATTGTAAAATCTCATTGTAAAATCTTAATGGCTGACCTTCCCAGTAGATCTGTTTTCTTCTACTCCCTGTAGAAGGCCAAGCCTTTTGGAAAAAATGGCAGTTGGGGGATTGGGAGACCTCATATAATACTGCCAGGGGTGCTCACAACTGTCAGTTTTCATTCATATGGGGGGTTGAACCTTATAGAGAACCTGTTGCTGTAACTGCTGTAGAAGCGTTATCTGAAGTTGGGCTTTACTTGTTGTGTGTCTTACTTATAATCTATCTGAGACTTCCCTGTACAGGGTGACAACGCTGCTGTGTAATGTTCCTGCAGAATGATCAGGGTTGTCACCCTGTTACAGAAGGTGGGAAAATAACAGATCTACAGACAGGACCAACAGCTGATACAACTATGTTGCAGAGGGAACTCTGGGAATGCTAATGACAGATTGCATTACACATTCAGTTAGCAGACTTCCTGCTGTTGGTCTGATGTTTGAATTGTGTTCTGATATTTACTGTCCTGCTGTAAAAGGTGTAAATGATCGCCCGCATGTTTCCTGTAGTAGCAGGGACAACAAACTCATATCAGGAATAGTAGGATGGGTACCTATCCAAGGGGGTCACCTTTTTTGGATTTGGGGGGAAATATTTCACATGGTTTCTTAAATTCTATTAATGTCACCGACAAGGGGGGAGTCTCACGTCACTAACAATAGGAGAGCCAATCACAGGCCAGTAACATTTCATGGTGTCTCAATGTATTGCAGAATGTTTAATCCCCATTGGTCCAATGGATTCCTAGTCCTTCCAGATAACATTTGCTTCCTGTGTGGAAGGAGCGCCCTAAAATGGCTTTCCTTCAATTCCACCCATACCTTTACTTTAGGTTATGTTGCCCCTCCCCCATATCTGTAAGGGAAAGCCTCAATTTCTCCCAATACTCCCCTGGCCTTCCAGTGAGAAGAAACATTTTCTCTGGAGTGGAGATGTTTTATGCAGTGAGCCCTTCATAGACGGGATGGGGAATCTAAGTAATCTAAGATGAGTAAGATGAACCGGTGTACTGGAGTCATGGATCAGATAACCAATGACACCATTGATGGTATAGCAGAGCTGACAGCAGAAGTGGCTCCATCACCTAAGGTGGTGTCACAGAACTGCATGGCAGCTGACTATCTCTCAGAAGCTCATGGTGGAGTCTACAAACTGGTGTCAGAGAGTGTTGTCCATTTATTTTAGATCTCAGAAGGGAATATCTACAAGGTAAAGGTTACAACAGGCACCTACATAATCGCACCCGAATAATCACACTTGGGCTTGTAGGAGGGGCAGTTGAGCCTGGTATACATGGGGGGAGAGGACCTTCAGTGCAGATGAATCACTTCTACCTGAAAGGTTACAGTTGGCCTAACAAATGTAGACAACCCCCGGGTGCTATAGCTATAAGGCAGTGCTGCTTCTGATGTAAACTTTACGTTGGCCGGAGTGAAAGGGTTCCACTAATGTACATCTGCCAAATCTGTATCTGAGTAGACCATAGAAGCAGCATTAGAAAGAAATGTGAGCATGGCTTCAGTCAGGCGATGGTCCTGGTGGTCATGGTCTTGTTCTCCTTCAGGTCCTCTCACCTTGTAGATGGTGACATGGACTTGTGTGGGAATGAGCAGGAGGGGCTCGGGGTTCTCTTGTACCCAATCAGCTTGTTATGGATAAAAGATGAAAGTGTCTTCTGGGAAGTTACAGGAATTTGGTTGTTTAGAGGGTTAGATAAGTGGGCTGATATTAATGAGGGGCGTGTCATATGTTAATTAGTTTCTTAGCATAGATGATATAAATATATCCTTGAAATGTAAACAATCTATCTCTTTTTTTCTGTTGTTAAAGTGTCACATATATATGATTAATAAAGTTGGATTATATTTTCACCGCACAATACCGTGGTCTGGGTTCTTCTACGACACATCCCCCAAAAATGTCCTCTTCCAGTTATAGGAGTCTGATGGAATGGGAGACAAGCTGATGTTAACTCTGAGGCCCCCTGTATATGGGATGTGGGGTGACCTCTTTTTGCAAAGTAGACCCCACAAGATATTTGCAGAGAGGCATGTTGAGGGCATGGAAGATTTCATTTTTTGCCAAAGGTTTTTGGAAAATTACAAAAAACTTTTTTTAACACAAAGTTGTCACTTTTATGAGATATATCTCACGCAAACCATGGGTATATGTGGAATCACACCCCGATACACAATCTGCTACTTCTCCTGGGGATACCACATGTGGGAAACTATTTAGAAGCCTAGCCATGTATGGGAGTCCAAAATCTAATGACCACCTTCAAGCTTTCAAAGGGCATATTTCGCTTCCTCACTATCACAGTTTAAAAGCTCCTGAATTGCCAGGACAGTTCAAATAGCCCCCAAATGCCCCCTTTTTAGAAAGTAGACTCCCCAAAGTATTTGATCAGAGGCACAGTGAGTATTTTGCAGATCTAATTTTTATCACAAGGTTTTGAAAAAAGAAAAAAAAAAATTCCATGCGGCGGCCTGCCTGGGTGATATAGCAGCAGCAGCAGCAGCCGCTGTTCCTCCTATCAGGCATCACCAGTCCAGCACTGTGCAGAGGGATCATCACATCCAAAGAGGGATCTCCATCCAGGTAGACATTAAAGACTGAGATGTGGGTTTGATGAGCCTTTAAAATGGATCTGAGGCTGAAGGTTTTTTATCTTCAGTGTGAAACTCATCCCTCAGCCCCCCTTATACTCATCTGATCCCGATCCAGCACTTTGCACAAAAGCAGAAACTCTCCAAGTCTCTGACTACTCATTGGCTGACACACAACAGCAGGAGCCATTGGCCCCCACTGCTGTCAATCACATCCAGTGGGGAAGGCTCCGGAGGTGGGTTGAGTCATGCCGTGTCTCATAGGCACATAGAGGCAGCTTGGGATTGAGCAGAGTAAGCAGCTTGTTTTGGGGCACTCAGCAGGGAGGGGCCTGGAGCGCTGGCGGGGGACCCAAGGAGAGGATGCAATGCACATAAATGTGACTCTGGGAACAAAAAACAAGTCTGGCTTCTTTAACCACTGATCCTCCTGATGCTAAAATGCACTGTAACCGCACATGTGGGGAGTCATGAGAAACGTGCAGTTGCTGGTGTGACCGGAGCCTGACCAGGAAAACGTTTATCTGGGGTGACGTTTGGGGACAATGTGATCAGTGACACCCACTTATGTCTGATCTCACTGTTACTTTTCTATCCGAGTTTTCACTTCAATACGGGAAATAATGTGAAATCTGAGGGAAATCTGAGAGCCATATGAAGACTTTGGGCCGTTCTATTGTCTGTTCATATGTCTGTGTGTACATCACACCGAAAAGAGGGACATTTACAGGGCAAAGAGGGACAGAGAAATATGGTGTCACACAAGGGAGAGTGATGGGAGATATGATCAAATACAATCTCATTACCTCCTCTGCTCACACTTCCAGCAACGTCTCCTCTATAATTCCTCCCACATGGAGCTTCCTGTCTGTGCCTGACATCACTTCCGGTCTGTGCCTGACCTCACTTCCTGTCTGTGCCCGACCTCACTTCCTGTCTGCGCCTGACATCACTTCCGGTCTATGCCTGACATCACTTCCTGTCTGTGCCTGACATCACTTCCTGTCTGTGCCAGACATAGTTACATAGAT